TGAAAAAAAATCTGGTGTTTATATACAGCCCTGGCTCTGTAAATGGGAAACAAACAAAGTGTGCCGCACCCCGCCACACAACACTAACAAACAATAAATGCTTGCCCACAGTCATTCTGTCTACTTTCTAGTTTGCCAAAACATGCTGTTGTTGTGATGACAAGAAGAAGAAGAACATACATATCCTGCAAGGGGAAATTCAATGTTTTTTCAATGTTGATGTTAGCTATAGTAGCAGAGAGTTGTTGGTATCACTGTCTGGAGCTGGCGCTCTGGGACCATCTCTTCCTCTCTGCATGTTAGCTTCATGTTAGCTTTGCAGCAGCAACTGTAACAACAGTATGCTAAGCCATAACCTCACTAATATTACTTTACTTATTGTGTCGTTGTTTGCTCTGTGTCATGGTATTTGTTTAGATTTTTGTATTTTATGTATACATTTTAAATGCAGTAATGCAGTATGAATTGAGGAACTACAGTAGCGCAAATCTTTACAAAATAAAAAAAAATAGGCACCAATTCTCCAGCTAAGGCCATTTAACATAACCTATAACATAACATAAACAGTAACATCACAACAGCCAGGTTGCAATTTAGCAAGTTTAGTATTACTTTTACAACTAACGCACTAAGGAACAATTTTTAGCTACTTTTTTTACCTAACAAAAATATTATGTTGGCGCTACTTATAATCTTGAGCAAGTAACTCTGTTTTGGAAAAAAAAAAGAACTATTGTACTGAAAATATAGCTCATAATTTCTTTGAAAAGTTCATTTAAATTACTCCTTCTACCACAGAAAATTATGATGTTCAAGTAATGCATTCAGTTGGCATAGTTGCACTCAGTTCAGGATGGTAGCACTCAAATGAGCATCGCTGTCAAAGATAAGCAGTTTGGTCTCTGACGCATTAGCTATCACCTTCAGTTTACAGCTGCTGTTAAATAATTTCAAGACAACTTGGCCAAGTAATCATTTTCATAATTATCCATAACCATCTGTGCTCTGGATGCCTGACTGACTCGAATCACTAAGAGGAAACTCCTAAACCTACAGTACTTAATCTTTTTAACCTCTGGTTCAAAACACTGAGAATCCATTAAAAACATCATTGTTTGCCAAGAAAATGTACTCAGATTGTCTTTATTGGAGCGCGACATAAAACCTGAGGGGGAAAGAGATTCATTTAAAACAGGTTTGTCATATCTTTGCCTACAGAAAGATTAAGGAAGATTTACACCTTTTTGCTTTTGTTTTTGAGAGTGACTCGTTGGATTTTTGAAAGGCTGATTCTTGCTGTGGGTGCCTGAGGGTGATAAGAAGTTTGTTTAGAAGTATTTCACAACAGCTGTGGGAGTAACCTTGCTCGTCCCAGCTGTCACTGACATTATATTTTACAGGCCTGGTTATTGCTGCCGAGACCGAGTGAACCATGCAAACTGTTGATTAAATACTTGAACAAATTCCGCCTGCTTTCCACCAAGGACACTGTTTGGCCGGAAGCAGTTTGTTTATTTGTCTCATTTGATTTTCATCTATTGTGAAAAGCACCACTTGCTTGTTTGACATCTGCTAATGCTTTAAGACAGCACAAGAAGAATGCAAACATGAGGCCAACCTCATAATTAATTGATGACACTTCTCTGATTCAGAACAATCAAGATTTTCCTTTGAGATAACCTAGTTTAGGTTAAAGATCGTTATCACTCTCTGTACTAATAAACTGTCATGTCTGTACTGTAAATATGAAGCTAAATCCAGGAGATGCTTAGCTTAAATATTTGAAGCAGGGGAAATGGCGAGTCTGGCTCTGTCCAAAGATTAAAAAAGCTCCCATGGACACGCATGCACTATAACTCAAGAGAAATTATACCCGAGATGATTTTGCTCTGAGATCTCTGACTTATACACCTGTTCACTAGTATTGTTCATTGTCTGATCTGAACGAATTCCTCTATTTTCAGATGCAACTTGCTCTACCTAGCTGCGTCGTGAGATACTTGGTGGATCGCAGGAGCCCACTGGACAGGCCAGGAGCCATGATGGCTGTATTGAGCCCTAGCCCGATTTTTAAATTACTCAACCATTTCAATTATATTAAGGCTTAAAGTTATGCATAGTTAAGGATGCGGCTGCTTTGAGTGACAGCTGGGTGGCCTTTCAGGTGGTTGGCCGCTAGGTGGTTCAGCAGCCAGGCTTCATTCGGCTCGCCTCAGATCCACCTCTTACCCATTTCTGGGTTAGCTAGAGTCAGGCACTGCCAAGATGGCGAAGGCTGGAGCCACCAGAGCCACCGACACTGAGCCCTTCACAGCCCTTCAGAAACCTATGGGTGATGTCATGGACACTACGTCCATGTTTTATACAGTCTATGGTAACTGCTCATTGTCTGTAAGCACCATAAAGCCTAACACATTATATCCTATTATATTCTTCTATATAGTCTGTATAAAAACTTAAGCGGAGAAGTGACTTCCTGAAGTTTTGATGTTAACATTAGGGGTGTGCATCTTCACTGGTCTCACAATTCGATTCTATTATGATTATCAGGTCAACGATTCAATGTCTCAATGCATCACGATGCATCACCTCAAGGGTGGGAATTTCTAGGTACCTCATTATGATTATGAGGTCCACGATGCCATTGTAAAACAATTAGGATAAAGATATATTTTTATCACTGTTTGACTATTTGGTACTTTTAAAGCAAAGTATTTATAACAATCCAAAGTAGTAGGTAGGAATGACATGCATTTATTGTTACTTCATATACATTAAATGTAGCTAACATTGCATAGCATTATTACATTATTACAGTATTGATACTGACCTCTGCTGCTGCTATTTTCATTTATGAGGCTGCTGTTATTACTATAGAGTCAGATAAGTGTTGAACTACGCACTTTACAACGCTCCAGTCAAACCACGTTCTCGCCATCTTAATATATATACGTTCCTTTTTTGTCTCATCTAGTGTAGTTACATGTTTGTGTTTATACCCGTCCCATGTTGTTATCTTTGGACAGAGCCAGGCTAGCTATTTCCCATTGTTTCCAGTCTTTAAGCTAATCTTAACAAACAGGCTGCTGGGTGTAGCTTCATAATGTACAGACCTGATATTGATTGATCTCTTCGTCTTACTATGGGCAAAAAAGCAAATAAAGGGTAGTCCCCAAAATATTGGACTATTCATGTATATACTGTATATGCATTGAGCATTGAAAAACTGTTTTTGAGGACAACAAATACTCATGTGATCATTTTGTCTTTTGACATTGATGAAAGCCAGGGAGTTATCATGAGACCTGAGACTGGACAGGTGTCAGAATGTGTTTCCTCTTTAAAAGGTGTTTTGCATGGCATTGTTGCCATGATTTCACACCATGAAAAGGAAGTGAAAACAGCTTTGAGGAATAGCTTTCATATTGTAGTTTCTAACCCTTTTCTATTGGTCTATAAAGTTTTTGAAGTCGTAACTGATTCTGTTCCCTCTTAATTATTCTGTGCTATTTCAGATTTTTTAAATTACTGTATTTTTCTGAGTGACTCTAAACAGGTTGTTGCTGCAAAAGTGTGTGCATACTCAACCAACCTACTGGCAAAAATAAAGGGAAAGTAATACATCAATAAGGTACCTTTCAAAGGCGCATGTATTATGCATTCTTTTTTGATTGTACAAGCAATGAAGCAATGGACCATGTTAAATGTTAGTCGTCTCATCATTAAACATTTTCATTGACACACACTGGACAAAACAGATACACACTGTTTAGGAAACACTTATTTTGACACTGGCATCATACTTTTGTTGTCATAAAAAATATGCATGTTGCAGCTTTTAGTCAAATTAATCATTTTTTGGAAAATTATACCACTTAGGCAGAGTTATAGTCGTTGATATCTTACTCAGATTTAATGTGCAAACAGTCTGTTCTGACATTAGTTATTAGTTTCACAGTATCTAACTTATTGACATTTTACAGTCTGGCATTAATGCACTGTTTGTCAAGTGTTTATCACAGAGCTGTCAGTGAAACATTCTCAATCTGCACTGCGAACACAGTAAATCATCAGAATATCTGAAATCCCCTTGTTTACTGTCTGCAGTTGTTTTAAAGCTTCATGCAAAAAAGCCTGCATGTAGGGAGGTACACATCAAAGCACATTTATATGCACATCAATTCCTCCCTTCCCAGCAGACGAGTATGTGCTCTTGGTTTCATAGAAAAAGGCCATTATCAGATTGTGCTGCTAAACTGACCAGCTGTGAAGAACAATGGATAGACAGACAGACACATCGGAAATCAAGTGGGTGACAGCAGATTACTCTCTGCGAAGCAAAATGACCTCCACAAAGAATAATGAGGGCTGGATGGCAGTTTGATTGCACATTGCATTTTGGCCATTTTGCCCGATCATGCCAGTTAACAGAAAGCATTAGAACATTTATATTTATAATTTTCAGAGACAATGAAAATAGTTTCCCCTCGCTGGCTGTTGAATTGGAGGAAACTGTAGGCTACAGCATATGATACAGAACAGACTAGTCCCCCACTTAATAATGTGTGATATCTTCCTAAGGGCCAATAACACTGACCCCTGCTTTGATTCAAACCATATGTCAACATAAGAAAAGGCTGCAGCTTAGTGAACCATGAAATGCACTGATCCAGATAGATGGAGGGTAACAACAAAACAACAACGTAAGTAACAATTTATTACACATTGAGTGTTTTAGAGGAGATTTAGTCCATTAAATCTCATGATGAAATAGCTTCTTTTTTATTTACTTTCAGACTGTGAATCGGAATTTTTTTTTCTGCAATTTTAATGTGTTATGCCAGTAACAGGTCATGCATGGCCCCAGCGGTCTATTTGTCATCCACTGTTTACTGGGTTTGTTTGTGATTACAGTCACACACGTTTGCTAACATATGGCTGTGATCCATGACATATACCCCACTCCCACCCCTCAAACTGAAAGCTTAATACATACATACCTTTTTCTTTGATGCCTCTGACTTTTTGGACATGTTTCTTAGTTTTTTGTGCAAATGATTTAAAACCTGTAAGCAAGAAAACAGATGAAATATGTATGTTTTATAGTTAGCCATAGTTTTATAATTTTATAGATTGATTGAATGACCAGTGTGAATTAGCTCTCCTTACCTTTGCATAGCAGAAGGTGATCAGCAGCAGAGGCAGCACATAGCCAAAAACAAACGTGCAAACCACATAGACTTTCTTCTGGTTTTGATCTGGCCACACTTCCCAGCAAAAGGTGTGATTCTCTCCTCTGTGAAAAATGTTCTGGTAATACATGATAGGCGCAGCCATGGCCAGAGAGAGTATCCAAATCACCACCACTCCTATGAAAGCATGCTTTGCCACCCGGATAGAGGAGGACTTTCTGGAGTGGACGATGGCTATGTATCGGTCCACGGACATGGCAGACAGAGTGAAGATGCTCACCAGCATGGACACAGTGAAGAAATAGTGGATGAATTTGCAGATGAAGGCGCCCAGGACCCACGTCGGCATCATGTAGATGGTGGATTGGAAAGGAATGCAGAAGAGCAGGTAGGAAAGGTCTGCAATGCTCAGGTTGAGGATGAATATGTTGGTGGTGCTCCGTGGTTTCCCCGGTTTGCTCCGGGCCAGCACGGTGATCACCATGGAGTTGCCCAGCACACCGAGCGTAAAGATGAGCCCGAAAACCAGCAGGGTGATGAAATTATCCGTGCCGATCCCGAATAAAAGTTTCTGGTCCTCTTCCTCCGCTCTGCTGAGGTTCCACGACTCATCCAAGAGCCAAATAGAGTCGGACGAGTTCATTTTTTATTTCCCCCCCCCTTATGATGTACTTTAAACTTTGCCTAAATGACCTATTGGCGGTCTGTGTCCTGCTGATGCGTCATTACACAGTTTCAAGAGCAAGGATTTGTGGTCCGGTTGCGTCCTGTAGACACTGTTTCTGCTTTCTTGTGTCTTAATCTCAAGGTTTCGGTAAATCCCCTGCTTTATTCTTATATCTCACATTAGTAATATGTCTTATGGCAAATGTTCCAAAGCTACCAAGTTCTCTGTACAGCACTCATCAGACTTGCCGCTGCGCGTCTTGGAGTCTCTCCTGGTGCGCACCGACCGCTCTGATCCACTCTGCTGCCTATTTCTCTTCGTCTGGACTTTCCCCCTCACATTATAGCAGGGGCTGGGCTGTGCCATTCACGTCAGAACCCTGTATACCACCTCCCAAGAAATGATGAGAAAATAGGAAATATTCTGGATACGTTTTGTTCTCCACGTTTCTGAAACCATTCCTGCACAAGTTGAATGCCAGAGGCCAATGTCATTTTCTTAGTGAGACTCATTTAGTTTTGACACAGTATGGGAGTGAATGTTATTCCGATTACCCGCCTGAACTGTAAAAATTGCTTTATGCCACAAAACAATCTTGTTCAGCAGTCTTGTTGTGTGTTTCCTTATTTGAGCCCCATTCTCTTTTGGCATAAAGGAGAAATAAGCTTTCCAAAAAACATTTTTTTTAAGTTCACTGATTAAAGGTCAGTGTTGGAACATTTTGCTTCTTATCCATGTCGTTTTATCAGCTAATATACATGAAAGAAAAATGTATGTATAGCAAGGACTTATGTTGGTATAATTTTGATGTGAGGGAGGGTTGAAGATACCAGAGCTGCAATGTCCAAACAACATAAGGCCTACTGCAGAGTGAAAGTGCTGCATTTTATAATCAGCAAAGGGATTTTACATGCAAGAAAATCACATTTAAAAGAAAAGATGTTTTGTGAAGTAATATTTATTTTTATTTTTAATTACTTTACAGCAATGTCCAAATAACCCCGAAGTGCATACCAATACTGTATTTAAACAGACTAGTTTTTTCCTCACCCTGCTACATGGTTCCTTAAGAATAAGTTATAACTCATTCTTATTCCACATTTGGTGTCAATAGACCTTAGATTCAATATTTATGACAAAATCCAGAAACAAACTGAAATAACTTTTCTTAGAGATGAAAAAATGCTTTATTTATTCCTAACAGACATCTAGGATGATTCAAAAGAGTAATGTTTTTCAGCAGTTTTTGGCCAGAGGGCAAACTGTGCTCCCTCAAGATGAGCAGATTCCCCAGAAGACTGAGAGGTCATTTTAAAGTCATAGTGGAGGGGTTGTTGATGATATTTTCTCATGTGAACTATTGGCTTATTGTTCTTACTGCGATGAAGAAACTCTCTGTATTGAGCTTAGCATGCCATGGTTCACTGAAAGTTATTAAAATACTATAGAACGACCTGTCATTACATGCACTTTATTGATTAGCCAGACGAGATGGCCATATGTGCAGTTATCTGATGTCAACCAGTAGTGCTGTTGTACAGTTATTTGTATTATGGATTAATCTTTAGATTTTAGATTCATCCATTAGTCAGTTAGTCGATAAACTGTCATAAAAAAGTGAAAAATGCACATCACAATTTTTCAGTGCCCAAGTTCAGGTAGCTTGTTTTGTCCTAACAACAGAACAACACCCAAAGATATGCAGTTTACTATTACATAAAATAAAGAAAAACAGCAAATCCTCACAGCTGATATGCATTTTTACTTGAAACTGACTGAAATTATGAATCACTTCAGAAATGCTTGCAAAGTATATTTACATATTCTGCAGTCTAGTAGAGGAATACTGATAGATAGTACACTCAAATTTCCTGCATGCAACCTTAAAACTGAAGTTAGTTTTATTTCTTGAAATGAAGCCATGCGGTGAAACTTTGTGCGCTCTAATGCTCGCATTGTGAGCATGTCCAGTTGTCAGCTCCACAGCACACAGCCCATCCATTAAAAGCCTTGACTTGCTAATATGCTCAGAGACACTGACCGAGACCTAACACAGATTTTTATTGTTTGTTTGCCTCCACCTTGTGGGGTTATTGCTGTTGTGTTTAATTGCCAAGTAATAATGAAACAGTATGGGCCAGTAGTTTGTTACTGTGAGACTTTTGTCTTGAATTTGCTGCAAGTAATTTTTTTGACCAATTGTTGTGCAGCAGGGAAAGGTTGTGAACACAACTTTGACATATTCTCCCATTTTAAGTTGATATGGCAAGCAGCTGCGTATTCATAAATCCGGCAGTTATGGGGAAACATTAACCTTCGTTTGGAGTTGTGTTTCTCGCCTGGTGAATGCAAGCCTAATATTGACTCTCCTAAGGGACACCTAAGGGAAATATCAGGCTCTTTAACTGCTAAATGCTCCATTATGTTCACCAGCTAGTCGTGAAGTAACCTTTTGGCGTAGAGCAGTGTACAGTGGGTTTTTAGAACGGCCTGCTGCAGCCTGGAACAATGAGAGCGGTGAAAGTGAATAAAAACAGTAAACAAAACAACAACTTCATAAAAGTAACCCTTTGAACACAGTCACACTGCTTTTACATTGTCATTTTTCAAAATATTGATTCCAGCCACTAAGTTTCTATTGGTGAAGGTTGTGTGTCTGCAGGCAAGTTTTTTTCTTTGTCTGCAGTTCTTTTCTTCTGATCAATCCTGAAATGTTGGCTACACTCCCTGTTGTATGCTAGTGACCTTTTCCCAGGAGAGATCACTCAATCGTAGGGATAACATTTCTATTTTATTTATGATTCCTGACTTTTGCAGTACTTGTTTTGTTTGCTTTTCTCTTACTATGTTCCTCTTCTTCTTCAGTCATTTCTAATTTTGTTTTACTGCCTTCTTGTAACATTTTGCAATGTACTGACAGATTTTTCTTGCAGCAGTGCTGGCTGTGTAGCATTTCCTTGTGGACAGTGATTACCTCCATGTCAGGAGGCAGGTTCCTTTTCACAGTCCATTGTTTGCCTTTCTAGACCCCTTTTGCTGGTTTGTGTCCCATTAGATTGAACTGTTGTAGGTTCATTGAGCTCTGCCGGCAACGATGGCAACGGAGCTGAATGGCGTAGGTGAGGACAGGTCAGGACAGAATAATTCAGTGGTTTCTGCTCCTGTCAGACTTTCAGAGCCCACAAGTGCGGCTCCGTGCCTGCCGTGCCTCCCAGCAGAAACAGAAACGACAAGAAGCAAGCAGAGTGGAGAGCACACACATCACAACAGCCATCCATCCATTTGGACATGATTAGATTGAATGTAACCTCTAAATGATCAGTGTATTTGTTATTCAAAGGTCAGACACACAACAACAACCAAAAAGCAAATAGATAAAAGGTTATTCTCCTGTAATATAATATAACATTTTGTGTATACTATTGACATGTGGTGCATCTAACTCATAGTTTCCTATATGTTTTTTTTTGTTGATGTTTTTTTACATTTTTATTGTTGGTAATCGTTTTCTATTTATGTTCTTAATATGGGATGAGTTGAGTGTCTACTTCTGGGGGAGGCTTAAAAGAAACAAATTAAACTTGTCTTTTACTATTATTATTATTTTTATTGTTTGTTTTTGTTTGTTTGTTTGTTGTTGTTTTTCTCCTCCCCAAGCCCCCCTCTCTGTTCTATTGCAGGTTTCGTTGCTTTCTGCAATTGGTGTTTCCCACAGCTTTTCCCTGTTGTCCCCACCTTCCATCCCCTTCTCTTACAGGTGTTGTCCTTTCTCTGTGCTGTCTGTTTGTGCCCCCCCATCCCCGTGTCTGCCCCCCTGTCCGGCCCGGTGACAAATCAATACATAATTAAATAAATAATAAAACAGACAAAGGAGTATATTAATACTGTCTTGTTAAAGTAAAATCTGTCTGGCACAATATGGTATCCAGCTCATCATACTCTATACCAGGCTGCTGGGCAGGACAGGTTAAAAATAAATAAATAAATAAAAAGAAACAAATTAAACAAAGTACAGTCCAAGACTTTTCAGAAGAGGTCAAGATGTCTTGCCTCCCTTGTAAGTGTCATAGTCCAAAAACGCAGAATCCTACATTTCCCATAATGCAATTTATTTGCAGCTTTCATTAGACTTCCCCTGCCTAGCAAGTACCCGCGTCCTTCAAACTTTGCCCAAGGTTGTAATGCAAGCGTTGTGTTAAAAAAAAGGTGAACTTCTAGCCCAAACCTAGAAAACCCCGATGACATCATCTGGGTTATTTTCTGGGACTTTGGAAAGCGCCCTCCAGAGTAACAGAAGAAGAAGACATTATATTATGGTTGGGTAGGATGAGGAGTCATGTGCTTCTAAAAATAAATGTATTCTATCTCAAATAACATATTTTGTAACATGTCCCACCAAATCATTAATAGTTAGACTACATCTAAAGCAGATCCAATAGCATATTAACACCTACCAGCAGCCAGTGCATAGTTATTTTCTTTTCTTTAATCATTTGCAAGGATATTTTAATGATATCTTCCACTAGATGGGGCTATTTTATATTGAAGAGATGCATTTAAGACTTCTTTTTAAATCCATTGTTCATAGTTTAATGTGTATTTGAGTGTTGAGGCTCTGCAGAATGTTTGCTGCTGTCTCTGGCACCAATTCCCTACTCTGTTTGTTTGGTGGATAGTCATTGAAATAAGGAGAACACTGTACAAGCCAAATTTGATTTAGCAAAGTCACCCACGTTAATCTCTGTGATTTCAAACAGCAATGGCATATACAGCTCCAACATTTGGAGATACATGATCGCATTGGTTATATCCCCGTACTGTTAGTTCCACACAAAGTCACGCTGTAAATGCAGTTGTCTGCTTGTTTTGCTGCACATCAGAGCAGCAGTTTGCGTGGGTTCTCTCAGCAGAGGATGCTATATGAATTGGAAATCCACACTTTTTTGAGAGTTCCAGCTCAGAAAACTCAAAGTAATAAAGTCTTTTGATTACTTTCATCTGTCCGCATAATCAGGAAGTAACAGAAAGTGGTCACACACAACCTTGACTTAATGCATACTGTTATTAAAGTGGGCTTTCAACAGACTGAATGCTATTTAATAACTTAATAATAACTTTAACTTTAACTTTTCCGAACACATTCAGAGGACTAGTTTGTGTTTTCCAGAAAAGCTAAATCCTTATATTTTGGGGTGAACTTTTGTGGCTATTCTGGGTATCAGCACTATCTATTCACAACACCGTAGCTATCAGTCTAATCAGTCAAACCGTGAAATGAGAGCCTTTGTGTGAATGATTTGTATTTACTGCCATGTCTTGCAGTGGTCGTGGCTTTGCTCTGTGTGTGAGATGTTATCTGAGCTTTTTCCCTCCATCTATGTGATTAAACCTAAAAAGGTGAAACCAGGCAAGGTTTAATATCCATCAGGTTTATTGGAGGTCATTAGCCAAATGTGTAGAGATAAGGTGCAACTGCTCAT